AAATATAATATATTTACACAATATTTATTTTACAGTGATTCGCTTCAGATTTGCAAATGAAAGACACGAGTAGCTGCTTCTAGTTAAGAAGATAAGAAGCCTTACTTCTTGACATCTCAGAGCTCAGCCGATGCTATTATAATCATAAATAGAATGTCACCTGAAAACAGTCGACTGCAGATATCCTGAGAAACATGTTCCATGCCTCAAGGACAAACTTTTCTGTTTGTTTTTTGCAGGTGAGTCTCGACAGTTTTTAAGCTAATTGCGACCAGTAAAAATGCGACCAAGGTTAATTGCCGGGCGCATTAAAAAACACAATGCAGCTAAGAGAAATTCATAATTCACGGTTATTACCTTCAGCTGCTTTACTTGCACATCGAATCGCAGCATGGAGAGAGAGGGAAACACTGGCAAAACAGGTAAGCGCATGTCCTTCGCCGAGTCCTCAGTGGCCAACCAAGTACATCTTCTTCGTGCCATTCGCAAGAGGTAAAATAAAAAATTTCCCACAAGAGCAATACGAGCAAATCGAATCGAAGTCACGGCTCCTGCCACTGGCGAAGCAGTCTTGGCCCTGCTCCACTTGCTTGGCCTGCGCATATCGTTTTCGTTTCGTTTTTTGCGCAGTCTCAGCCACGTTCCTAATCTCATATATTGGGGATTTGGGGGCAAAAGGTCCTGCGGCGGCGCCGGCACAAACCCCATTACAATAAACAACGAGGCAGCGGCAGTGGCGGCTCCATCGCGCTTCGCGCTCGTATCTTCGGATGTCCTTTTGCCATCATTGGTGGAGAAAAAGTCAAGCGTTTATTTTTTCCTTTCTTTTTTTTTCTGCTTCAGTCGCCGCCTTATCCCTTTGGGATTTTTGCGCCATTAACGTGAATTGCTTTTTGGGGAAATTATGTGTACCCCGCATACAGAAGCTTTAATGTTTTGTAAATTCACATAAGGAAACCATTATCACCTGAAATATGAAAGCAATCTTCGTGCATCCTTTCGGCTTGCAAGTTCCACTAACTCCTTTCTTGGCCAGCTCGTCCCCTGGCCAGCTCGCTTATCTACATGCTGTTCCCAGTTCCCAGTCTACTTTCTTTTCGGGAATAGGTAATGGAATTAAGTAAGCGAGGAGAATTTTAAAGTTTAAGAAATCGATGAATAACTTTAATCTCTTTAGTTTTTCAATTTTTAATGCAATAATATATAAATGAATGCAATAATATAATCAATAGCAGACTAATGGCTTTTCAGCTATAGCTACATTATAAGGGACTAGAAAATATTTTGTGTACTAAGTTCTACAAAGCAAGTTTCGGACATTAATGACAAATGATATGATAGGGACCAACACATATCCCGAGAAATTAATATTTTTTGATATTTATTTAAACAAATATTAAAAATATTAAAATGCGATTTAATTGAAAATTATATACAAGTTTTAGATAGAGAAAATTGATTATTCCTGAGAAGGGAGACTATTTCATTTCATACTCCAACAATTTTATTTGAATATTTCAATATTTTTTTATTGTATATTTCATTTAAAATTTTGAACGCATTTAGAATATATCTGCTTAAAAAATATTCCAAATAGCTTAGGTAAATTTTATTAAATAGCTAAAGAACAATATTTTGCCCCTATTATACATTCAGTCTAAGAAGACATCCTTAAGGCAAGCTCAAACGTCTTCATTTGGCATTCGGATCAAGGTTCGATTTACTCTAATACATTGGTTACATAAAAAGCTTATTTAAAATAGTTGTAAACACCGACGGCGCATTGCTGCCAATTTTCGGGACCAACAACTCGAGTGCTGCAGCCCGCACAAGTCGAGGCAGCTGCTGCTGGCCAACCAGCAGGCGAGCAAACGGCAAGCAGAGGCGAGCTGGGGCCAACTGGCAACTGCTTGCAACATCGTGGCATCGTGTCGTTGGCGCTATTCCGGCGGCCATAACAATTCTCGTAATACTTCGGGCATCGCCGACTAAACGATAATCGCGCGTAAATGCCCCACTAAAATCAATACGACGACTGCGACGACAATAGCGACGAGGACGAGGTCCTTGGCTGCCGCAGCGACTGCTTTCTTTCAGTTTCACCTTCGTCGAGCAGCAGCCACTCCATGTTGCCATCCCTTTCGCCAACTCTGAGACGCTTATGCACATGCGCTGCCCAGACCCATTGCGCTTGAGTCCTTCCCAGTCAGCATTTTCTTCGAGCTGATTTCCTTCTTGTTTTCCTTATGGCCTCGCACACCCAGCACAAATGAAGTCGACTGCCAGAAATCGAGTATATTTGGGCCTTCTAACCAATGAATAAGCACACTTGGGCGAATCTTTATCGCAAGTCATTGATGAGTCAAAGAGCAAGTAATTTACATATATAATTTGGCTATTGAACAAATTTAGACTTGGGCTAGCTTATATGTATATGCATGCTGTGAAATTTATTTCATTTTTCAATAAGGCAAACAAATTTCAAAATGCCATTATATTGAAGCCATATAACGTAAGCGCATATTGTAACGAGAGCTTTAATGAATTGAGCATATTTTACTTATATTAAATAATCAGCAAAATATAATAACAAAGACTATAAACTTTAGGGAGTAAGCCTAGCCTATCGACTATTGTTTGTTGAGCTTGATGTTCAATATAAACGTTTAAGATTTATAGACTTAAATGATATTTCCTATTTTTGATTTTATTCAATTTATATTTAGGTAAGCAAAGTAATATAAAGTAAGCAAATCTGTTTAATGAAAAATGTAAATATTGACACAATCTCAATTCAAATTGTATTTATATTGTATTAATATTTAGTCCCACGCAGAAGGCTCTAGTTGCCCGTGCTTACTTTTAAGTTAATTTGAATTTTATGAATTCTCTATTCAATAAATATTTGCACTTAAACCAAGTTGCATTTATCACCCCGAAACAAGTTTAAATATAAATATTTAATATGAAATCATGTAATTTGCAACGCCTCGTTATGTACACGCTCAGTGCGTAATTGAAAGTTATGTTTCTCACTGAAAAGTCATTGGGAATGTGCTGCATTTATGAATTTATGTGCCTCGACTGCTGCTGCACGGCAACTGGAAGTGCGACTGGGCGAGCAAGGAGCCACAACAACTGCACAATCGCATAAATATTAATTTGCATTTTGTGAAATGATTTAGCAGCACATTAAGTGCAATAAATGACGACTTCTCTCTCTCATTGAGATAAATGCAGACGAAACAGACAGAGCTAGTGGAAGGCGGCAACAGTTGGCTTCAGTTTCAGCAGAGAGTAGCAAGCGCACCTTTGAATTAATTAGTTAAATAAATGCATCTGCTCACCTGTTGTGGGCTCAGCTTTGGCGATCTCAGACGCCGACTCAGACTCCGCTTCCCACGAGCTGGCCGCGCATGCAAATCGAGCCAGGGCCAAACAGTTGACAGTTTGTGGCCGCAGCTGAGCGACAAATATACGAGTGGCCATTAAAATAGTTTATGACTTTTAATTACGGGCTCAGCATGAGGCCGCCGAGTGAGTCGTTGTCGCAGTCACAGCCACAGCCAGCAGCAGCAGCAGCGACTGCTTCTGAGCAGCAGCCATGCCGCAGACAACAGCCAATGGCAGAGCGCATCAGAAATTAACGCAGAGCCAGAGCCTGCGCGCAGTTGGCCAAGAGAGGGAGGAGACTGCCTTTTGTTTTTGTCCGGTTATTTATTGGTTTTTTAAGCCAACATTTTTCTTCTTTTTTTTTTTTTTTTGTGTGTGTGTGCCTGCGCCTTCTTTGTAATTTCTTTGAATTATATCTCAATTCATGCCCGACAATAAATTTGATAAATTTCCCATTCGACCTGCCTGCCCCGCTGGGTTCCCTCGAACGGTGCGTGCGCTGCACCGCCATGTTGCCAGGAGCCATAAATAAGTGGAAGGCACCGCCATATGCGCGCCAGCGACAGTGGCTGAGAGGGGACGGGGGGCTGATTAAAATGTTCGGGTCGAGTTCCTTGATCGTTAATTAAGAATGCGTCCCGATCGGTCAGCGGGCGATGCAATCGCTCGAATCGAAATGAATTCAAAGTGGAAACTGAACGACGTCTATATGAGTGTGTGCGGTGGCAGAAATACATGCATATGTATATGAGTAAACACTCACGAAATTAATTTGTAATTCAAGGCGATCGCTAATTGAAATCCAATTAAAAATTCAACCCAACTCAATTGACGACAAACAAAACAAATATGCAGTCTTAATTCAAATGGCTGCTTGATCTGAGATATCATCATATTTATCCCTCAGTTATAATTAAATTGAATACATTTTAGTACTTTTTAAATATTATAGCTCGTTGCCGTAATTGGGTAAGTATAATTTTATATTTAATAAACAATGTCGACATTAATGTATAATATAGATATGAAATGCTTGAAATATGATACCTATACGAGAAAAATAATATTAATTATTATTTAATAATATATGATATCTAAGATAAAAAATAATGATATAAAATAATAATAATTTTACATTATAGCTCGTTGTCGTAATTGGGTAAATATATTTTTATATCTTATAAAATGAATGTTAGAAATATGATACCTATAGGAGAAAAATAATATTAATTATTATTTATTAATATATAATACCGAAAACAGACAATAACAATAATTATTGTTTTTTAAATTTACGACAATTTTTTTTTTAATTTTTAGGAAAAATAGCAATAATCAAATATAATGATAATAATTCTTTTTTAAATATTCTATGTATGCACATATAATATCTATGAGAAAAAAAAATTATTTATTAAATTCACTACAAGTTTAAGCAAACTTTCATTCGATGAAATGAATTGTAAAATCCTTAATCTTAAATAAAATATTATTTATTTGGGAATTTTATTATTTAAAATAATCTGTTGAGTTCGTTTGGTAAATAATTTCAAAGCAAGCAATGAAGGTTTGCTCTTCTTTAATATTTTTCTATTTTCTATTTTAACAAAATTATTTATTTGTTTATATTCAGAGATAAGTTAATATATGGAATCCAATGTGACCATTCGTTCACGACTTCCTTGCGAGCCGCTCAGATGCTGTACATGCCATGGCCAACAGTATCTGGCCGGGCTAATAAGCAACTTTGGCGTCTTTTGCTTTGGCGCCACAATGGGCTGGGCACTCTTTGACGATCATCCTTCCAGCGAGAGTGCCAGACACTTCATAGTGGGCAAGAGCTCGCGCCAGTGGACGAACAGCTTGCTGCCCTTGGGGGCCGCTTGCTTCTGCATGCCGATGGGCGTGATGATGAAGAAGCATGGCAGCAAGGGTCTGATGATCTTCCAGCTGCTGCCCTACATCTGCGGCTGGCTCCTCGTGATCTTCGCCAGAAACGTGTACATGGTGTACGTGGGCCGTTATCTGCTGGGGATCTGTGGCGCTGCGCTGTGTGTGGCCGTGCCCGTGTATAATGTGGAAATCAGTCAGCTGAGGGTCCGTGGCCTCATGGGGAGTATGTTCTATGGCGCCATCGTCTACGGAATTGTGTTCGCCAACATCTTGGAGCACTTTTTTGGCGAACAACTCGTCAACATTATCGTCCTGTCGATGGCGCTGCTCAACTGCTCGGTTAAGATTCTACCCCAGTCGCCGGCCTTCTACATCCTGCACGGCGAGCTGGGGCATGCGCGGGCCGCCCTCCACTGGCTGCACGGCGATGAGGCGATCGACGTCGAAGCCCTGACGGCACAAATGATCATGCCAGCGGAGGAGGAGCATAGGCACAAGTACTTGTGCGGCCACAAGTACGCACGGATGAACGTGCCCCGGGCCAGTGTGATGCTGCTGCTCTATCAGCTGTCCGGCGGCGTTGTTATCTGCGGATTCCTGCGGGATATTCTGCTGCCATTTTCATCGGCTTTCCACAAGTATGAGTGGATCGTTTGGGTGGCTATGCTCCTGGGCCATCTAATCTGCTTCTTGGTGATCGATCGCATGAGCCGGCGTCTGATCCTGGTGCTGTCCGCGGTGCTCATGTTTCTAGCTTCGCTGTATTTGTGCACCTGGTTCCAATGGCTGACGCACACCAACTGGAACTTTCAACCCCTGACGGCGCTATTCCTGTTCATTGCATCATTCTCATTTGGCATGGGCCCGGTGTCCTGGATACTGTACGTCGAGCTCATCATCGAGCCCTCGCGCGCTCTGGGCTGCTCCTTCGCGGCAACCCTTGGCTGGCTAACCGCGTCCGCGATGGTCTTCGTATATGCGAACAATCTGTACATGCAAACAGTCTTTTATTTCATGCTAATTGTCTGCTTTGTCACTCTGCTGTTCGTGATCATCTTCGTACCGGAGACCAAGGGCCTAACATCGCTGCAAATTCAGATTTTACTGTCACACAGATCCTTGGGTGATACGCACTCTACCGATTCATCATTCTAGATGATGATTGTGTCTGTCCTTTGACTTAAGACAATATACTCTTAATAGCTTTTCTTATTTAAATCTTTCATTCGCTAACCGATCGAGCTATGTCTCTTGGCTTTGCAGAAGCATGGAAAACCTGATGTAAATGCATCTGCCATCGACTGGGCGCTGCACATGTAATATTTCAGTGTGCCCAAAGTCCCTCGGCTAACATCAGGGCTCATATGTACTTGTATATGTGTGAGCATATATGTATTCGTATTCGCATTCGCATTCGTATCTGTATCTGTGTCTGTCTGCGTGAACTTCTGGCAAGTGCAAATATTTATGCGTATTTGATAGCACTAATGGGCCATTAAATGCGTACGCAAATACACACACACATGCGTGTTCGTGTTTGTGTTTGTCTAAACGAGCTCGTATGGGTGGCAAGGATGAAAATGTACCTAAGCGAATCTAAATGGCATCAGGGGCACCGAACATGCAAAATCATGTACTCGTAAATCTCTTTAATGCCAACGGCCTCCGGCCAGAGCCGAAACACCAATGGGGCCACGGGAATTGCGGGAGTCCGGGTCCTGGGTCCGTCGATGAGCCGCCCACACGCAATCACATGGTAGCTGCTTGTTTACTCCCGGGCCAAGGAACGGCTCCGGCTCGAGGTTGGGCTGCCTGCGTAATGAAACTGAATATGTGGATGCTGCAGGCGGCGCTGTGGCTGCAAATGTGTGTGCGTGTGCTTGTGTGTGTGTGTGTGTAAGGTGCTTTCGAATACGTATTACGTAACTAACGAAAATTAACGTTAATAGCCCTGAGTATCAAAATAATGGCAGTAGCTCCGTTGGCAGCCGCCTGCTGCCTGTTGGTTGCCCTCTTGGATTGGAGCAGGAGTTGTGGCACTGGCTGTGGAACTGGAACTGGAACAGATACGGCGGTCGGGGCTGTCGGCCATATAAATTGCACAAACTCATTCCGGACTTAGGCAAAACGTGAAAATATTGTTACGACCTCTTGTGCTGCTGTTTGCTCACTCTCACTCTCTCTCTTTCTCTCTCTCACTCTCGCACTTTCAATATTTTCTCCCATTCTCTCTAGAACCCGAGTCGCAGTCCCAGTCAAGTTTACTGCAGCTTCGGCAGATTCCGCCCATCGAAATAAATTTGATTTTAGTCGCAAAATTACGATACTCATGCACTTAATTGAGAAAAGTGAAGCAAAGATTTTTAATGATGTTGTATGCTGGCAACAAGATGGCAAAGATGGGAAAGAAGTGGCTTGTTAAGGCAAACATACATTGGGGGTGATATAAATAAGAGTTATGTGCTTTAGAATGATGCTTAGATATAATACTTTAAAGAAAAATATGCAAGCTGTATTGCAAAATATTCTAGATGAGTCTGCATAATCTTAAGATAATCTTATTAAAATCATTTATTTAATTTATTATAATTTTTTTAATAACTAATTCAAATTACCATATGCACATTTAGCTACCCACCACTAAAGATCATCATGAATAATTAATTTTAATCCAACGTTTATTTTGTTGTAAAATATAATATTTTTGCGTTTCTCTCTGAAGCGAAGCTTTAAGCCGTGTTCAATTAAGTTAAGGCATTGCATATATACGGTACAATAGCTTGTTCAACAAAATTAAAATTTCAATTTAAAATCGGAATGCTGAACGCTCCTGCAGGACCTCCGCACCGTCCGCACCAGCCTCACCCACCACCCCCCTTTCGCTCGGTCCAATATTTTGCGCACTTTGTGTGCGTGTGTCGTTAATTTTTATTGGACAGCTTTTGAGATCCTCCTCGCATCGAAATCGAATGAAATTCAGTTCGTTGTGTTGCTTGTTGCTGTATTGCTGCGACTGATACGGTCTCCAGGGGTCGGAGCAGGGCTAGCGTGGGGTGGGGAGGCGCTGGTAATGTAACTACTGTGTGGGCATGGAGCAGGGGCTGGATGGGATATGCTTTCGTGTTTGTGTTCGACGACGACCAAAACGCAATAAGCAGTTAAAAAATACTCGTAATTGCAACGGGCAACTCCCATGGCTCATGCCCCATATGAGTTGTTATTGTCTTTGTTGCTGTTGTTGTTTTTGTTGTTGTGGAACGTGCGCAGTGGCATCGACAATGGACAACAAGAACGATGCTCCATGGAATCGTTTCTGTGAAAATTCATGCATGTAAAGATGAAATTGCTTCGCGAGCTGCCAGCCAAAGACTCTATGCATATCATTGGCCAATACTAAGGGTTGAGTCTGACAAAGAACTTTAAGGCATTTCAGCAATAGCTTAAACAAATGGAAGAAATATTTAAAGTTGAGTTGCAGAACGAACAGGATAGTAGGAGAGAGTAGAGAAATTATCATTATATATTAGTGTATTTTTTGTTTTCCAAATAATAAGCAACCATTGAGGCAATTGCAGAACAGAAGAAGAAAGCAGAATGTTTGCCTCTCACTTTATATTTAATGCAGAAAAACTCATCGTTTTTGTTCGAAATATTTTGGTCAGTTCAGCTCTGTCAATCATGTGGTCTGGAATTAAAGACATCTTTAATAGAAATTTTTCCCCTTAATCAAGCAAACAGTGAACTTTATCAAATAAAATATTTGATATACATTTAAAATATTTTTATCAATTTAAAAAATAAAAAATTAAATTAAAAAATATAAATGTGAATTTTCAGAGCTCAATTTAATCATAAATATAAATAAATAAAATTATTTAGAGCCGAAATAATTTTCGAAATTTCAAAATATTAGAATAAACCTATATACGAATTTAGGACCACGAATTCAATAAAACCTGCAACAGATTTTTGTTTTTCATGTCCTCATTACATTATAAGTATATTTATTGTTACGGTATGATAACATTAATAATATAAGTATAAACTTGTAAATTTGGCGCACAAATAAAATGAAAAAATATGGTTTACATTACATTATATCGATATATGTTGTATATTTGTAATATACCTATTCTATTTGTTCAGTACAATGTATATACTATAGTAATTATTCAGTCGAAAGTAATTAGTCAATATCCTATAATATATATTCTCTGCATTGTCTATTTACTACAGTATTTATTGAATAGATAGTAACTATAGACATCGTAGATATTATAGTATAGAACTTCAATACTTAAGTACTTAAGTATTTATTTAGTAGATAGTTACTTTTTATTATTCTCTATGCATGTATGTGAAATAGTATTTATTCAGTCAATCGTAATTAGTCTAAATACTATGATATTTATTCACTAAATTGCTTTTCTCTATAGTTTTTTATAGGATTTATTCAATAGATATCAACTATCTATATAGTCGATATACTGTATTAAAGAGGCTTGCTACTCTCTATTGTATTTACTCAGTAGATAGTAACTATGTAGTATCTATACTTTACTATTTAGGCTATATTATATTGTCTATATAACGTAATATTGATGCATTCTGTCATTCTCTAGTTTCGCATTCTCTCTATGCAGGAAAGAAAGGCACATTCTAGTGCATCCGCTGTTCGAGCATATCCGTTTCATTTTCATCTTTGCTTTTCTCTTTTTTGTGAGAGTTTTCTTTTCTTCCTTTCGTTATGGCCATTATATTGTTTGGCCGTGTGCGGACCTTAGCGCAGTTGCCTTTGCTGTTGCTGCCGCCGTCGTCCTTTTGGCTATTGTAGTTATAATGGGCTAGTGGCAGCAGCCAACTGGGAGCCCCACGCTCCCCCACGCTCTCCTCACACTCGCACCACGCCCGAGAGCACTGTGCAAAATGTTGCCCAAATGGGTTCATATTTTGACGTTTAATGTAGCGAAAATGAAGCAAGGATTTATGAAATGTGCACGTTGCCCCCGCGGGCCGAGTCGACTAATATCAAAATGGAAGCGAATATCGAGCGACGCCCAAAGTGCAAATCAAAAAGCAATTGCATTATTAGAAGCGATACGAAATCAGAGGGGCGTACAAATAAACTCGGCTAACTCAATTGAATGAACGCTCCGATTGTCTAGCGTCTAGACGTCGAGGCCGTATATTCCGCCGTGTCTGCAGCAATTAGGATTGTGTAGCTAAATATTAAAGATGCGTGTTTAGCTTCTTCTATTTTTTTACTCTTCATAATTTTTCCTCTACGAAAGCCGTCAGTCAGGTGGCAGCCGGTGGCTTTAATGAGCCATAGGAAATGATGAAAATGCCATTGGAAGCTGGCTTAAATATGTCTAATCGACTGTTTCGGGCACTTGATGGCAGCAGTTGCCAATGGGTACACAGCCGGGACAGCAGGCACTCCAGGGACTCCGGGAACTCGTGGCCCTTCGCCAGGGATCAAGTAAATTGCGAAAACTATGTGCAAGATGGGCTGTTATTGCAGCAAAAACGCTTGTAATGATGACTCTAAGTGCCGTTTTCTTGAGTGTATTACCTATAAAAAATTTATACAAAGCTGCTGCCAAATTACCCGGACACGAACCGAGACAGCCGTGTAGCTGCCACCACCAACACCGCCAACACGCCACGTTCCGCCCCCCAGCTAGAAGGTAGAATAGATACAAAAGGCGATGCGAACGGCAATGGAAATGCTAGCCACCTCATCAAGCTCACCTCTGCCCTGAGCCGGGCTGCCAGCGATAAGACAGCGTCTTCGTCGAGCGATAAAATGCAACATTAAATTGCTGATTTTTTTTGTGAGCTTGGGTGGCTGCTGGAGACCCTCGGGTGGCAGCAGTTCATTAGGGTAGCACCCGCCTAGGGCTGGGAATGCAATCTGAAGCGATGTCTAGCTGGGGACAATCACTACAAGTGGCTCAATGGCCGAGTCTCTGCTCTGATTGTCAGATTGCCTGCATAACAAAACAAATTATATTCGTAATTATCATTACCATTTGGCTCAACTCGAGTCGTAATCGAAGGCGGCATTTAAATTATTAATATAATGCTATAGGACATGGACAGAAAATATGCTTGTACAGATGATTAATAAAAAATTGGGATGGCAAATTGATGTGG